CGGTCGGTCGGGTCGTTTGAAAAAAGATGCCAAAACATTTGTATTAATATAGTACTAGACACAATTTTTGATGAAATATACAGCCCTACACATTATTGGCTGAATAACTGGCACGAAGATAACACATCAGTCGAAACAGTTCTCGGTTCTGTACTGGTGATTCAATAACCGCTGTCCCTGTGCGTTCGGTAGTCCACAGTATCAGCTGCTCGTGCTCATCACTTCTCTCAACAGTGGCACCAACATGTCTCGGTTACTGGAGTAAAATAGTAATTCAGGATATTGATTTATTTCGATTCGTAGGCGACCGTCAGGCATGTCTGAAAGTGAGTAACTTTAGTAACTTGTGGATCATCAGCACTGACGCAAGACGTGAACTGTTTCGAACGATTTAGTTCGATTTAGTGTACTGGTTCGACCGGTTCACTAAAAAGAGCCGGTTCAAAAGAACGATTCGTTCACGAACCGGCCATGTCTATGATCACTACAGTCTGCAGAGAGATGGAGGCGGCAAGAGAAAAGGTGAAGACTGGGGAGTGGAAGCTCCGCAAATACACAAATAGAAAGAGTAAAAGTGTGGGAGACATTTGCTGAAATAATGAAAGATGATGACCAAAGTGCTGGCTTTGTTATGTGTAGGCCTACGTCTTCTTGCGATGCTGTGTTGTTACACGTCTATGGCCCAATAACGCTCCGATGAGCATTTACTACTTTTAAAAAAAGCGGCCAGAAAGCGGGTCGGGTACAATATTTTTTTACTTTTTTTTTGCGGTCTGAGTTGCGGGCGGGTAGTTGAAAACGTCGGTCGGTTGCGGGTTGTTTATACATTGACCCGCGCATCACTGATAATTACCTATTAATTGTTATTTAAGTGAAATTACTGAACTTAAATATACAAGTTTGATAAAAATCATCATTAAAGAAGAAAATTTCAAATGGCATTTAGAGGCTTTTGCATCTGAACTCTTCATATATTGAAATGTATTCTACAATATATTGAACATACATGGGACCTTATATCTTTACATATATAACCAATACATTATCCCATACAAATTGTAATACATTATGGTGGATATTAATAAATATAAAATTGCATATATTTTCGGATATATACGTAATTACATATATTATATATTCATTTACCATATATTTCAATATATTGCAAGCGGCAATCATTTGTATATTTTGCAACATATTACAATATATTTAATATATTGCATAATATATGTATCATCAATATATTACTCCATGTATTTCCAATATATAATATATTGGAAAATAGAAAGGAAAATAATATATTAAAATATATTACAATATATTTCAAATAATATATTGGTAAATATATTTTTCTTTCATAAGGGTTATGAACAACTCCTTTTTAAATGTATATCTGTATTTGTTTTTTCTCATTTGTACAGTGCACAAGAAGCAGTCGGCAACTTCACTTACCTGCCATGGTTGTCCTGTTTGTGCAACATCTCCATAATAGATCAGGATGAAAGAGCGATGGACATTGTAGGCTAAAACCACTTGGAAAGAGGCCACCTTCAAAACACCAACAGACAGCATTCAAAATCTTTCAAATAAACCAGACGGACCATTCATTGAAAATCAAAGATTAATGTAGGTCTTACCCCTCCACCATTAGAGTATGGCACACTGTCCCATGTAGCGACAAAAGCTGAAGTAGCAGCAAAGGGTATGTTAGGGAAGTATCGCTTAACAGCTGCTGTGACTTGTGTCAGTGCAGCACTGCTTGTCTCCTGCCTATAGGAGATAGTTCCTCCACGTCTATTGTCCAGGCGAGTCCAAAGAGGAGCAATGATGTCTCTTCTGGAATCCAGAGAGGAGTTGTAGGCAGGCAGCGGCTCAGTAAACGTTAGATGACCATTGTTGTTCACCTAAATTTTAGTCCCACAATTTCAAAGGGATTTTAAAGAGAAGATTGAAGAAATTAGGGGTATATCAAGAACTTTTATCTTCATGTTTGTGTGTTTGGGGGTGGAATGTGATGCTTACAAAGATCTGATTGTATGTGCGCCCAAAGTATTTGAAAGGCGTCTGCAAGAAAATGACATCAGAGCTTCCATCATCGGCAGTGGGGATCACTATTTCTCCAACTTCAGAAGGAAGGAAACTAGTTGGCACTAAGGACATATTAGGTGAGAATAAATTATTTAGCTCTGTTGAAGAAAAAAAAAAGTCTGAGCTTCTGGTTGTATTGGCTTACATTTCGGTGAGCCATCAACATGGAAAGAGCTGCGACCATTCACATTGATATTACTGCTGGATGAGAGTTCTGAGGCATTGGTTACTGGAATTGTGAAAGAATTGAGGGAGTCTGCCGTGTTGTAACCAGCCTGTAGATGTACAGTAAAAGAATAGTTTTTAGGCCCTGAACCTGTTACAGATATAACTGTCTTTTGCAAGAATGTAAGGAATGAAATGAGGCAAGGGCATTTCCTTGTCATTTCTATTTTTTGTAAAAACAACAAGGACCTGTCTCCACTCACCAGCCAAATTTGTTTGGTTTCTGCAATGTTTCCATAGTTGATCAGGATAAAAGTGCGATGAACACTGGAGACTAAAACCGTTTGGAAAGAAACCACCTTAAAAATACCAACAGATGTCATTAAAAAACCTTCACTCTTCACAGGACAACACTAATTTATCATTAAACAACGATTGGATCTTACCCCTCCACCATTAGAGTATGGCACATTGTCCCAGGTAGCAACAAAAGCTGATGAAGCACTAAACGTTATGTTAGGGAAGTATTGCTTAACAGCTGCAGTGACTTGTGCCAGTACAGCACTGCTTGTGTCCTCTCTATAGGAGATAGTTCCTCCGCGTCTATTGTCAAGGTGAGTCCAAAGAGGAGCAATGAAGTCTCTTCCACAATTCAGAAGTGGGATGTTGTCGGACAGTTGCTCAGTAAATGTTAGAAGGCCATTGTTGTTCACCTACAATTTAACACAAACATATGTTTGTGTGTTGTAAGAGGGAAAATACTGACAGAATTAAAAAGTAGAATTGCCACAATTTCGACTAGTTGATTAAACGAATCAAATGTCCTCTGGATTTCACAATTACAACAACCTGTACATTGAGATATCAAAGTCTGAACAAAGTAAAGCAAGTACTTAGACTCATTTAAAGAGACTTGTGATTTTAGATGCAAGTACATAGATGTCTCTAAATATGCAAAATAACAACTGAACAATGCTTACAAAGGTCTGATTGTGTGTGTGTCCAAAATATTTCAAAGGCTGCTGCAATATAATGGCTTCAGAGCTTCCGTTATCCAATCGGGGCGTTACTAGTTCTCCATTCCCAAATGGTAGGAAATTAGATGGCACTAGGAGAAATGTAAGAGAGAAGGAATCATTTAGTTCTTCCAAGAAACATAAGCTCTCTCTCACACACTGCACTAGTTAAAAGGTTCAAAGGGGAATTCACTAAGAATTGTGCTGGTTTATATTGTTGTTTATTTTAATGTATCCCATTAGATTTTAGACTCAATTCACAACACGAATTATGTAAATACGGTACTGGAGTTAGGTTATTACAGCCACAGAACTACTGCCCATCAGAATTTGCCCAGGGCGGTCCCCCAGCTCGCGGGCCGTTTCTAAATGTGCAAAGTTGTGGAGAGTACAGAAGACTACTACAATCAGGCAGATTTTCTGGATTGTGAAGTACGATTCCCTCACTGCGATCCAGCACCTGAATTGGCTTTTTTAAAGGCTGAAAGTGCACTCAACTACACGGTGCCAGGGCAAGCTCAACAACAAACAAGTTTCAGGTTTTGGGTTCAAACACGGCATACCAAAATGGCACAAAAGTTTAGTGAATTCACCCCTGAACAACTTGTCATAGCCAGTAACACAACTCGTTGGCTTACAGTTTGGTGAACCATCAACATGGAAAGACCAGCAAGCAGTCACATTGACATTACTGCTCGACGAGAGTTCTGGGACACTGGAAGCTGGAATTGTGAAAGAACTGATAGAGTCCACAGTGTAAAAGCCAGCCTGTAGGAGTAAACAACATGTTTTAAGCTCTCATTCTATAAAAAGGGAGAGAGAACATTTTTTCCTTTTTATTATGAACAACTGCCTTTTGAAATGTATATCTGTATTTGTTTTTCTCAGTTGTACAGTGCACAAGAAGCAGTCGGCAACTTACCTGCCATGATAGTCCTGTTTCTGCAACATCTCCATAATAGATCAGGATGAAAGAACGATGGACATTGTAGGCTAAAACCACTTGGAAAGAGGCCACCTTCAAAACACCAACAGACAGCATTCAAAATCTTCCAAATAAACCAGACGGACCATTCATTGAAAATCAAAGATTACTGTAGGTCTTACCCCTCCACCATTAGAGTATGGCACACTATCCCATGTAGCGACAAACGCTGAAGTAGCAGCAAAGGGTATGTTAGGGAAGTATCGCTTAACAGCTGCTGTGACTTGTGTCAGTGCAGCACTGCTTGTCTCCTGCCTATAGGAGATAGTTCCTCCACGTCTATTGTCCAGGCGAGTCCAAAGAGGAGCAATGATGTCTCTTCCGGAATGCAGAGAGGAGTTGTAGGCAGGCAGTGGCTCAGTAAACGTAAGATGGCCATTGTTGTTCACCTAAATTTTAGTCCCACATTTTTCAAAGGGATTTTAAAGAGAAGATTGAAGAAATTAGGGGTATATAAAAAACTTTTATCTTCATGTTTGTGTGTTTGGGGGTGGAATGTGACGCTTACAAAGATCTGATTGTATGTGCGCCCAAAGTATTTGAAAGGCGTCTGCAAGAAAATGACATCAGAGCTTCCATCATCGGCAGTGGGGATCACTATTTCTCCAACCCCAGAAGGAAGGAAACTAGTTGGCACTAAGGAAATATTAGGTGAGAAAAAAATTATTTAGCTCTGTTGAAGAAAAAAAAGCCCATAAAAGGTACAGGTTAAGTCTGAGCTTCTGGTTGCATTGGCTTACATTTCGGTGAGCCATCAACATGGAAAGAGCTGCGACCATTCACATTGACATTACTGCTGGATGAGAGTTCTGAGGCATTGGTTACTGGAATTGTGAAAGAATTGACCGAGTCTGCCGTGTTGTAACCAGCCTGTAGATGTACAGTAAATGAATAGTTTTTAGGCCCTGAACCTGTTACAGATATAACTGTCTTTTGCAAGAATGTAAGGAATGAAATGAGGCAAGGGCAGTTCCTTGTCATTTCTATTTTTTGCAAAAACAACAAGGACCTGTCTCCACTCACCAGCCAAATTTGTTCGGTTTCTGCAATGTTTCCATAGTTGATCAGGATAAAAGTGCGATGAACACTGGAGACTAAAACCGTTTGGAAAGAAACCACCTTCAAAATACCAACAGATGTCATTAAAAAACCTTCACTCTTCACAGGACAACACTAATTCATCATTAAACAACGATTGGATCTTACCCCTCCACCATTAGAGTATGGCACATTGTCCCAGGTAGCAACAAAAGCTGATGAAGCACTAAACGTTATGTTAGGGAAGTATTGCTTAACAGCTGCAGTGACTTGTGCCAGTACAGCACTGCTTGTGTCCTCTCTATAGGAGATAGTTCCTCCGCGTCTATTGTCAAGGTGAGTCCAAAGAGGAGCAATGAAGTCTCTTCCACAATTCAGAAGTGGGATGTTGTCGGACAGTTGCTCAGTAAATGTTAGAAGGCCATTGTTGTTCACCTACAATTTAACACAAACATATGTTTGTGTGTTGTAAGAGGGAATATACTGACAGAATTTAAAAGTAGAATTTGCCACAATTTCGACTAGTTGATTCAACGAATCAAATGTCCTCTGAATTTCACAATTACAACAACAATGAGATATAAAAGTCTGAACAATGTAAAGCAAGTACTTACACTCATTTAAAGAGACTTGTGATTTTAGCTGCAAGTAGATGAAACATGTCTCTAAATATGCAAAATAACAACTAAACAATGCTTACAAAGGTCTGATTGTGTGTGCGTCCAAAATATTTCAAAGGCTGCTGCAATATAATGGCTTTGGAGCTTCCGTTATCCAATCGGGGGGTTACTAGTTCTCCATTCCCAAATGGTAGGAAATTAGATGGCACTAGGAGAAATGTAAGAGAGAAGGAATCATTTAGTTCTTCCAAGAAACATACAGTAAGCTCTCTCTCACACACTGCACTAGTTAAAAGGTTTAAAGGGGAATTCACTCAGAATGAATTGTGCTGGTTTATAATGTTGTTTATTTTTATGTATCCCATAAGATTTTAGACCCGATTCACCACACAAATTATGTAAATACGGTACTGGAGTTAGGTTATTACATTCACAGAACTACTGCCCATCAGAATTGCCCAGGGCAGTCCCCAGCTCGCGGGCAGTTTCTAAATGTGCAAAGTTTTAGAGAGTACAGAAGACCACTACAATCAGGCAGATTTTCTGTGATTGTCAAGTACGATTCCCTCACTGCGATCCAGCACATGAATTGGCTTTTTAAAAGGCTGAAAGTGCACTCAACTACATGATGCCAGGACAAGCTCAACTGCAAATAAGATTCAAGTTTTGGGTTCAAACACAGCATGCTACAGTGGCACAAACGTTTAGTGAATTCACCCCTGAACACCTTGTCATAACCAGTAACACAACTCGTTGGCTTACAGTTTGGTGAACCATCAACATGGAAAGACCAGCAAGCAGTCACATTGACATTACTGCTCGACGAGAGTTCTGGGACACTGGATGCTGGAATTGTGAAAGAACTGATAGAGTCCACAGTGTAATAGCCAGCCTGTAGGAGTAAACAACATGTTTTAAGCTCTCATTCTATAAAAAGAGAGAGAGAGAGAACAGGGTTATGAACAACCCCTTTTGAAATGTACATTTGTATTTGTTTTTCTCATTTGTACAGTGCACAAGAAGCAGTCAGCAACTTCACTTACCTGCCATGGTTGTCCTGTTTCTGCAACATTTCCATAATAGATCAGGATGAAAGAGCGATGGACATTGTAGGCTAAAACCACTTGGAAAGAGGCCACCTTCAAAACACCAACAGACAGCATTCAAAATCTTCCAAATAAACCAGACGGACCATTCATTGAAAATCAAAGATTACTGTAGGTCTTACCCCTCCACCATTAGAGTATGGCACACTGTCCCATGTAGCGACAAAAGCTGAAGTAGCAGCAAAGGGTATGTTAGGGAAGTATCGCTTAACAGCTGCTGTGACTTGTGTCAGTGCAGCACTGCTTGTCTCCTGCCTATAGGAGATAGTTCCTCCACGTCTATTGTCCAGGCGAGTCCAAAGAGGAGCAATGATGTCTCTTCCGGAATCCAGAGAGGAGTTGTAGGCAGGCAGCGGCTGGGTAAACGTAAGATGGCCATTGTTGTTCACCTAAATTTTAGTCCCACATTTTTCAAAGGGATTTTAAAGAGAAGATTGAAGAAATTAGGGGTATATAAAAATACTTTTATCGTCATGTTTGTGTGTTTGGGGGTGGAATGTTACGCTTACAAAAATCTGATTGTATGTGCGCCCAAAGTATTTGAAAGGCGTCTGCAAGAAAATGACATCAGAGCTTCCATCATCGGCAGTGGGGATCACTATTTCTCCAACCCCAGAAGGAAGGAAACTAGTTGGCACTAAGGAAATATCAGGTGAGAAGAAATTATTTAGCTCTGTTGAAGAAAAAAAGCCCATAAAAGGTACAGGTTAAGTCTGAGCTTCTGGTTGCATTGGCTTACATTTCGGTGAGCCATCAACATGGAAAGAGCTGCGACCATTCACATTGACATTACTGCTGGATGAGAGTTCTGAGGCATTGGTTACTGGAATTGTGAAAGAATTGACCGAGTCTGCCGTGTTGTAACCAGCCTGTAGATGTACAGTAAATGAATAGTTTTTAGGCCCTGAACCTGTTACAGATATAACTGTCTTTTGCAAGAATGTAAGGAATGAAATGAGGCAAGGGCATTTCCTTGTCATTTCTATTTTATTTGCAAAAACAACAAGGACTTGTCTCCACTCACCAGCCAAATTTGTTCGGTTTCTGCAATGTTTCCATAGTTGATCAGGATAAAAGTGCGATGAACACTGGAGACTAAAACCGTTTGGAAAGAAACCACCTTCAAAATACCAACAGATGTCATTAAAAAACCTTCACTCTTCACAGGACAACACTAATTTATCTTTAAACAACGATTGGATCTTACCCCTCCACCATTAGAGTATGGCACATTGTCCCAGGTAGCAACAAAAGCTGATGAAGCACTAAACGTTATGTTAGGGAAGTATTGCTTAACAGCTGCAGTGACTTGTGCCAGTACAGCACTGCTTGTGTCCTCTCTATAGGAGATAGTTCCTCCGCGTCTATTGTCAAGGTGAGTCCAAAGAGGAGCAATGAAGTCTCTTCCACAATTCAGAAGTGGGATGTTGTCGGACAGTTGCTCAGTAAATGTTAGAAGGCCATTGTTGTTCACCTACAATTTAACACAAACATATGTTTGTGTGTTGTAAGAGGTAAAAATATTGACAGAACAAGTAGAATTTGCCACAATTTCGACTAGTTGATTCAACGAATCAAATGTCCTCTGAACTTCACAATTACAACAACAAATGTACATTGAGATATCAAAGTTTGAACAAAGTAAAGCAAGTACTTACACTCATTTAAAGAGACTTGTGATTTTAGCTGCAGGGTAGATGAAACATGTCTCTAAATATGCAAAATAACAACTAAACAATGCTTACGAAGGTCTGATTGTGTGTGCGTCCGAAATATTTCAAAGGCTGCTGCAATATAATGGCTTCGGAGCTTCCGTTATCCAATCGGGGCGTTACTAGTTCTCCATTCCCAAATGGTAGGAAATTAGATGGCACTAGGAGAAATGTAAGAGAGAAGGAATCATTTAGTTCTTCCAAGAAACATAAGCTCTCTCTCACACACTGCACTAGTTAAAAGGTTTAAAGGGGAATTGACTCAGAATGAATTGTGCTGGTTTATATTGTTTATTTTTATGTATCCCATAAGATTTTAGACACGATTCACCACACAAATTATGTAAGTATGTTACTGGAGTTAGGTTATTACAGACACAGAACTACTGCCCATCAGAATTTGCCCAGGGCGGTCCCCCAGCTCGCGGGCCGTTTCTAAATGTTCAAAGTTGTGGAGAGTACAGAAGACTACTACAATCAGGCAGATTATCTGGGATTGTGAAGTACGATTCCCTCACTGCGATCCAGCACCTGAATTGGCTTTTTAAAAGGCTGAAAGTGCACTCAACTACACGGTGCCAGGGCAAGCTCAACTGCAAATAAGATTCAGGTTTTGGTTTCAAATACTGAATGCTAGAGTGACACAAAAGTTTAGTGAATTCACCCCTGAACACCTTGTCATAGCCAGTAACACAACTCGTTGGCTTACAGTTTGGTGAACCATCAACATGGAAAGACCAGCAAGCAGTCACATTGACATTACTGCTCGACGAGAGTTCTGGGACACTGGATGCTGGAATTGTGAAAGAACTGATAGAGTCCACAGTGTAATAGCCAGCCTGTAGGAGTAAACAACATGTTTTAAGCTCTCATTCTAAAAGAGAGAGAGAACATTGTTTCCTTCTTATTATGAACAACTCCTTTTGAAATGTATATCTGTATTTGTTTTTCTCATTTGTACAGTGCACAAGAAGCAGTTGGCAACTTCACTTACCTGCCATGGTTGTCCTGTTTCTGCAACATCTCCATAATAGATCAGGATGAAAGAGCGATGGACATTGTAGGCTAAAACCACTTGGAAAGAGGCCACCTTCAAAACACCAACAGACAGCATTCAAAATCTTCCAAATAAACCAGACGGACCATTCATTGAAAATCAAAGATTACTGTAGGTCTTACCCCTCCACCATTAGAGTATGGCACACTATCCCATGTAGCGACAAACGCTGAAGTAGCAGCAAAGGGTATGTTAGGGAAGTATCGCTTAACAGCTGCTGTGACTTGTGTCAGTGCAGCACTGCTTGTCTCCTGCCTATAGGAGATAGTTCCTCCACGTCTATTGTCCAGGCGAGTCCAAAGAGGAGCAATGATGTCTTTTCCGGAATGCAGAGAGGAGTTGTAGGCAGGCAGCGGCTCGGTAAACGTTAGATGGCCATTGTTGTTCACCTAAATTTTAGTCCCACATTTTTCAAAGGGATTTTAAAGAGAAGATTGAAGAAATTAGGGGTATATAAAAAACTTTTATCTTCATGTTTGTGTGTTGGGGGGTGGAATGTTACGCTTACAAAGATCTGATTGTATGTGCGCCCAAAGTATTTGAAAGGCGTCTGCAAGAAAATGACATCAGAGCTTCCATCATCGGCAGTGGGGATCACTATTTCTCCAACTCCATAAGGAAGGAAACTTATTGGCACTAAGGAAATATCAGGTGAGAAAAAAATTATTTAGCTCTGTTTAAGAAAAAAAGCCCATAAAAGGCACAGGTTAAGTCTGAGCTTCTGGTTGCATTGGCTTACATTTCGGTGAGCCATCAACATGGAAAGAGCTGCGACCATTCACATTGACATTACTGCTGGAGGAGAGTTCTGAGGCATTGGTTACTGGAATTGTGAAAGAATTGGTCGAGTCTGCCGTGTTGTAACCAGCCTGTAGATGTAGAGTAAATGAATAGTTTTTAGGCCCTGAACCTGTTACAGATATAACTGTATTTTGCAAGAATGTAAGGAATGAAATGAGGCAAGGGCAGTTCCTTGTCATTTCTATTTTATTTGCAAAAACAACAAGGACTTGTCTCCACTCACCAGCCAAATTTGTTCAGTTTCTGCAATGTTTCCATAGTTGATCAGGATAAAAGTGCGATGAACACTGGAGACTAAAACCGTTTGGAAAGAAACCACCTTCAAAATACCAACAGATGTCATTAAAAACCTTCACTCTTCACAGGATAATTTATCTTTAAACAACGATTGGATCTTACCCCTCCACCATTAGAGTATGGCACATTGTCCCAGGTAGCAACAAAAGCTGATGAAGCACTAAACGTTATGTTAGGGAAGTATTGCTTAACAGCTGCAGTGACTTGTGCCAGTACAGCACTGCTTGTGTCCTCTCTATAGGAGATAGTTCCTCCGCGTCTATTGTCAAGGTGAGTCCAAAGAGGAGCAATGAAGTCTCTTCCACAATTCAGAAGTGGGATGTTGTCGGACAGTTGCTCAGTAAATGTTAGAAGGCCATTGTTGTTAACCTACAATTTAACACAAACATATGTTTGTGTGTTGTAAGAGGTAAAAATACTGACAGAATTAAAAAGTAGAATTTGCCACAATTTCGACTAGTTGATTCAACGAATCAAATGTCCTCTGAACTTCACAATTACAACAACAAATGTACATTGAGATATCAAAGTCTGAACAATTAAAGCAAGTACTTACACTCATTTAAAGAGACTTGTGATTTTAGCAGCAAGTAGATGAAACATGTCTCTAAATATGCAAAATAACAAATGAACAATGCTTACAAAGGTCTGATTGTGTGTGCGTCCGAAATATTTCAAAGGCTGCTGCAATATAATGGCTTTGGAGCTTCCGTTATCCAATCGGGGGGTTACTAGTTCTCCATTCCCAAATGGTAGGAAATTAGATGGCACTAGGAGAAATGTAAGTGAGAAGTAATCATTTAGTTCTTCCAAGAAACACAAGCTCTCTCTCACACACTACACTAGTTAAAAGGTTTAAAGGGGAATTCACTAAGAATGAATTGTGCTGGTTTATAATGTTGTTTATTTTTATGTATCCCATAAGATTTTAGACACGATTCACCACACAAATTATGTAAATACGGTACTGGAGTTAGGTTATTACAGCCACAGAACTACTGCCCATCAGAATTTGCCCAGGGCGGTCCCCCAGCTCGCGGGCCGTTTCTAAATGTGCAAAGTTGTGGAGAGTACAGAAGACTACTACAATCAGGCAGATTATCTGGGATTGTGAAGTACGATTCCCTCACTGTGATCCAGCACCTGAATTGGCTTTTTAAAAGGCTGAAAGTGCACTCAACTCCACGGTGCCAGGGCAAGCTCAACTGCAAATAAGATTCAAGTTTTGGGTTCAAACACGGCATGCTACAGTGGCACAAAACTTTAGTGAATTCACCGCTGAACACCTTGTCATAAACTCGTTGGCTTACAGTTTGGTGAGCCATCAACATGGAAAGACCAGCAAGCAGTAACATTGAAATTACTGCTCGACGAGAGTTCTGGGACACTGGATGCTGGAATTGTGAAAGAACTGATAGAGTCCACAGTGTAATAGCCAGCCTGTAGGGGTAAACATTTTTTTTATATATATATATCTCATTCTAAAAAAAGAGAGAACATTGTTTACTTCTTATTATGAACAACTCCTTTTGAAATGTATATCTGTATTTGTTTTTCTAATTTGTACAGTGCACAAGAAGCAGTTGACAACTTCACTTACCTGCCATGGTTGTCCTGTTTCTGCAACATCTCCATAATAGATCAGGATGAAAGAGCGATGGACATTGTAGGCTAAAACCACTTGGAAAGAGGCCACCTTCAAAACACCAACAGACAGCATTCAAAATCTTCCAAATAAACCAGATGGACCATTCATTGAAAATCAAAGATTACTGTAGGTCTTACCCCTCCACCATTAGAGTATGGCACACTGTCCCATGTAGCGACAAAAGCTGAAGTAGCAGCAAAGGGTATGTTAGGGAAGTATCGCTTAACAGCTGCTGTGACTTGTGTCAGTGCAGCACTGCTTGTCTCCTGCCTATAGGAGATAGTTCCTCCACGTCTATTGTCCAGGCGAGTCCAAAGAGGAGCAATGATGTCTCTTCCGGAATGCAGAGAGGAGTTGTAGGCAGGCAGTGGCTCGGTAAACGTTAGATGGCCATTGTTGTTCACCTAAATTTTAGTCCCACAATTTCAAAGGGATTTTAAAGAGAAGATTGAAGAAATTATGGGCATATAAAGAACTTTTATCTTCATGTTTGTGTGTTTGGGGGTGGAATGTGACGCTTACAAAGATCTGATTGTATGTGCGACCAAAGTATTTGAAAGGCGTCTGCAAGAAAATTACATCAGAGCTTCCATCAACGGCAGTGGGGATCACTATTTCTCCAACCCCAGAAGGAAGGAAACTAGTTGGCACTAAGGAAAAATTAGGTGAGAATAAATTATTTAGCTCTGTTGAAGAAAAAAAGCCCATAAAAGGTACAGGTTAAGTCTGAGCTTTTGGTTGCATTGGCTTACATTTCGGTGAGCCATCAACATGGAAAGAGCTGCGACCATTCACATTGACATTACTGCTGGATGAGAGTTCTGAGGCATTGGTTACTGGAATTGTGAAAGAATTGACCGAGTCTGCCGTGTTGTAACCAGCCTGTAGATGTAGAGTAAATGAATAGTTTTTAGGCCCTGAACCTGTTACAGATATAACTGTCTTTTGCAAGAATGTAAGCAATGAAATGAGGCAAGGGCAGTTTCTTGTCTTTTCTATTTTCTGCAAAACAACAAGGACCTGTCTCCACTCACCAGCCAAATTTGTTTGGTTTCTGCAATGTTTCCATAGCTGATCAGGATAAAAGTGCGATGAACACTGGAGACTAAAACCGTTTGGAAAGAAACCACCTTCAAAATACCAACAGATGTCATTAAAAAACCTTCACTCTTCACAGGACAACACTAATTTATCATTAAACAACGATTGGATCTTACCCCTCCACCATTGGAGTATGGCACATTGTCCCAGGTAGCAACAAAAGCTGATGAAGCACTAAACGTTATGTTAGGGAAGTATTGCTTAACAGCTGCAGTGACTTGTGCCAGTACAGCACTGCTTGTGTCCTCTCTATAGGAGATAGTTCCTCCGCGTCTATTGTCAAGGTGAGTCCAAAGAGGAGCAATGAAGTCTCTTCCACAATTCAGAAGTGGGATGTTGTCGGACAGTTGCTCAGTAAATGTTAGAAGGCCATTGTTGTTCACCTACAATTTAGCACAAACATATTTTTGTGTTTTGTAAGAGGGAATATACTGACATAATTAAGAAGTAGAATTTGCCACAATATCTACTAGTTGATTCAAGAAATCAAATGTCTTCTGAATTTCACAATTACAAAAACCTGTACATTGAGATATCAAAGTCTGAACAAAGTAAAGCAAGCATTTACACTTATTTAAATAGACTTGTGATTTTAGATGCAAGTAGATGAAACTTGTCTCTAAATATTTAAAATGACAACAAAATAATGCTTACAAAGGTCTGATTGTGTGTGTGTCCAAAATATTTCAAAGGCTGCTGCAATATAATGGCTTCGGAGCTTCCATTATCCAAACGGGGGGTTACTAGTTCTCCATTCCCAAAAGGTAGGAAATTAGCTGGCACTAGGAGAAATGTAAATTACAAAGATTCCTTTATATCTTCCTAGAAACATGAGCTTACAAACTCTCCACATGTTTGAAGTATTTACAGGGTATATCACCAAGAATTAACAGTACATTTTATTGTGATATACATTTTATATATACATTTTATTTATTTTTATTTGTGCCATTTGAGTTTAGCACCTGATTCACAACATGTATGATGTAATTAAATTAGTGGAGCTAGAGCAGGGGTCGGCAACCTTTTAGTCAACATTTTAAGTTGCATAGTTTATCACTTTGCAATAACCCCACCCCAATATAAATACACATACACATTTTAAATATTCATAATGGCTAACATAGAAATAGTGCAGAACCTTAAATAGACCTATTTCTGAAGCCATTTTTCAGAAAATGCCTTTTACTTTTGTCAAAATCCTTTAGTTTGTTTTCAGTGTTTAATAACAGATTTCCAATTGGACTTTTTACACCTTGTCATTCATGCGATTTAAAGGGATACTTCACTTTTTTTGGAAATAGGCTCATTTTACCACTCCCCCAGAGTTAAACAGTTGAGTTTTACCGTTTTCGAATGTATTCAGGAGTTGTTGTTTTTTTTATATATTTAGAAGAATATCATGAACCAGACAGCTTCTGGTCTCATTGACTACCATAGTATTTTTTTTTTCCTTCTATGGAAGTCAATGAGACCAGAAACTGTCTAGTTACTGATATTCTTCTAAATATAAGAAAATCAGCTGAATGGATTTGAAAATGGTAAAACTCAACTGTTTAACTCTGGGGGAGTGGTAAAATGAGCCAATTTCCAAAAAAGTGGAGTATCCCTTTAAATGATCAGATAGCTATCCATTGTTAAAACTGTTCCATTTACAACTGTGTCTCCACAAAACGAATAAAAATCTGATCTTCAATTAATGTGCTTTATGCAATTTTAACAGCGTTCACATCAGAGAAAGCAAGATCCAGACTCTCACGTCTTCAAACAACACAAGCGAGCGCTGTTTTGCTCTCTCTCCCTCGCGCGTATTATTCAAATCATTTGACACGATAGTAAAAGGTTGGAAGATCGCAGCATTTGGAGATTTTTAGAGATCAGCGACTCAATGAACAACATCTCAACACTAAATGATGAAGACCGTCTCATAGACGCCTGTCTCAAAAACAAGCTGGTGCATTTCGACAATATGGGAAAATAAAAGCCTGGGCTATTATTTTAAGTTTATGCTATTCGTTTTGTTCATATTACACTTTTATTGTTAGTTTGAATTAATTTGACAGACAGCATTCGCTGATGTTGATCAGGATAGCACCATTCAGAGCTGCCAACTCTCACAAATTCACCGTGAGACACATGCAATTGACACTTAGCAAGCAGGTTAGTTAAGCTCTCAGATTATGCCAATTTTAATACGCAATTCAAACAATAAATACCGTTTTGGCCCTTGTAAATGTTACACCACAGATCCCTAGTGCACATGAACCGATCATCTCTACTAGCTAATGGAAAAAGAACATTAGCTAATTTATCATAACTGTATTGAATATATATATATATATATATATATGAAGAGTTCAGATGCAAAAGCCTCTAAGTGCCATTTGAAATTTTCTTCTAAAATGATCATTTTTATCAAGCTTATATATTTAAGTTCAGTAATTTCATTTAATTAAAAATTTAATTACCTATTAATTGTCATTTAAGTGAAATTACTGAACCTAAATATACAAGCTTGATAAAAATGATCATTTTAGAAGAAAATTTCAATTGGCATTTAGAGGCTTTTGCATCTGAACTCTTCATATATATGAAAAACTATTATTGGCAGTCACAGGCTGCTGTAAACCAGATTAACTTAAATATCCCGCTTTAAGATTTAAAGGTAGGTGACTCTCAGGAGACGCCTCACACTCCGTTGTTGCCTTATGATCCATCATATTCATGTAGTGAGCTGCAGCAGTGGTAATGACAGAACGCGCTTGAGCAACAGTTCAGAAAGGAGAAATCAATCTAGTCAGTCTGGACAGGTGAATGAGGTGAAATCATGTCCAGTGCACCGCGTGCAACCTCCAGACCCGTGTCAATGTGTCTTTACATTGACTTAAAGGAACACTCCGACTTTTTGGGACTTCCTATTCACCTTATCCCCCAGAGTTAGATAAGTCCATACATACCTTTTTCATCTCTGTGCGTGCTAAAAGTCTGTTTAACGCACCCACCGCTAGGCTATAGCTTAGCACAAAGACTGGATGTAAATGGTTGCAGCTTTCATATTAATCCAAATGAGTGACAAAATAACGCAAACGATTTTATATTTACATGTTGTGATTTGTATAGTCAGAGAGTGTACAAATAACAAAGTCAAATGAAACACAGACATCTTTTAACGGTATAAAAACTGGGAACTATTCTCTGAAGGCGAAGCACTGCTACTGTACTACTTTGACGGAGTGATAACCGCATCACCTGAGGCACGCCGTGGTGAGGAGCCGAGAGTTTGGGTAACAGAGTCAGCAATTTATAAATAGTAAAAGTGTAGTTTACAGTCATGGGGTTTTGCACTATTGTAAATAGCTGTGATAGTAAACAAGGGAGGTAATACTATGTTTCACAGAACTAAAAACGCTGACTGGATGAAGAAATGGCTAACTTACTTGCTCTGGATATTGATCCAAACACACCTAAATAGATTATCAAGGGACATTATGTTTGCTCGGTACATTTCAATGCGGACGACTATTTTGAAAAAATGGAATTTGCCACACGGACCATAAACGTGTGCTGAAGGATACGGCCATCCGATCTATAGATCATTTCACAAGATGTAAACAACACTGGTCCAGAAGCACTTCCTGTTTCAGTTTTTTAACACTACATAAAAGCTGGGATGAAATACAACCAACAGAACATTTAAAACTGAATCAAAAAGTTAAACCAACATCAAGATGTTTTCTTTTCATGTGAAATAAAGAAAACAGTTACAAACTGAAACAGGAAGTGCTTCTGGACCAGTTGTTTACATCTTGTGAAATGGTCTCCCAGATAGCAAACTGACATTGAATCAACGTGGAAACGACGTCTCTCATGACATTGAAACAACGTTGATTTGCTCATCGAATTAACGTTGAACCAACGTCAGACGCGGCATTCTTCAAAGCTAAATGAAATCGAAAATTGGTTTGCTTTCATAACGTTGAAACAACGCGTTGATTTCAAGTTGATTTTCCGTTAGTTTTGAAAGAATGACGCATCTGACGTTGGTTCAACGTTAATTCGATGAGCAAAACAATGTCAGATCAACGTTGTTTCGATGTCATATTTCCACGTTGATTCAATGTCAGTTTGCTATCTGGGCTATAGCACAGACAGGAAAAAGTGGATCACCTGCGGCTGAGGTAAGTGTTCTGTTTTTAGATGACCTACTGTAACAGTGCCTTTAGCCAGATCTAATGTAATGTTAGTGAC